GCGCAGGTCTGTTACTGTCCTTCCACAGGATATCAGTCGGGTTAAAGTCTGGACTTTGACTGCGTGATTCCAACAACTTGATTCTTCTGTTGTGGATTTGCTGCTGTGCTTTGGATCATCGTTCTGCCGTATGACCCAATTTCAAGCATAATTTAGCTGTCAGACAGATGGCTTGACATTTGAATCATGAAAGTGGCACACAGAGGAGTTTGTGTGCGACTCAGTGACTCCAAAGTGCCCAGGTCTTGTGGCTGTAAAACGAACCCAAATCATCACCCCTCCACCACCCTGCTTGATAGCTGGTATGAGGTGTTTTTGCTGATGTGCTGTGTTTGGTTTCTGCCAAATGCGGTGCTGTGCATTAACCATTTTCCCTTTGGTCTCGTCTGTTGAGAGGACATTCTTCTTGTGGTCTTGTGGTCTCATCAGATCCCACTTTGCAAACCTAAGCTGTGCTGTCATGTTCTTTTTAGAGAAAGGAGACTTTCTCCTGGAAAACCTTCCAAACAAGCCACGCTTGTTCCCTCTGTTTGTACTGTGGTGAACTTTAACATTTAAAATGCTAACTATGGCCCGTTCAATCCGACATGTAGCTCTTCAGGGTTTTTTGTTTCTTTGTTTGTTTGTTTTTAACACTTTTTCGAGCGTTATAAAGTCTGACCTTGGGGTGAATTTGCTGTGACATCCACTCCTGAGAATGCTGCTGAATCCAAACTGCCAAAACCTCTGCATTAACTGGTGACCAGTTAATCAAGTGCATTAGATTAGCAGCACCTGGATTCTACTCAGCCTCTTAATTTCTCTGAAAGCAGCAAAGCTTAGTGGAAAAAGTCCTGTGAAAACTTTCTGTTTGACATAACGGTAAGATTAACAGTTTAGAAAAGGAAAACTAAACATTTACAGAGAGAAATAAAAGAATGTGTGAGCTACATGTTTGAGAATATAAATTCATGTCACAAAATACTCAAATTCCGGTTGTAGTGAGTCACAATCGCTGCATTGCAATTGATTTGCACAAATTTTTAATGCAACAAAAGGTCAAGATAAGTTGTTTAATAAAGTCTTGGCGTGTTGTTAACACGAGCCTACTTGTCTGTTAAAGTTCTTCAGTTCATGTTTCACCCAGCAAGGTGGCTGAACTGAAAAAAGTCCTATTTTCTGAGCGTTATCACCAAAGTCCCCGCAGCTATTAATAAAAATCCAGTAATATGTAGTAATATGATGCCGTGATAAAAAATGGTCAGTTTCCATCAGACATATAGAGCAGTATGTTTCATAGAATAACAAAGGGAGTAGCAGTATCTAAGATTTAGATTACAATCAAACGCCATGAAGGAATACCTTCTCACTCTATAAATTCTGTTGTCCCTTATATAAATCCATTTTAAAATGCTAAATCACCGAGAATAGTTTCTGAGCTTCCATTCATAAATTGGATTAATTCTGTATTTGTCTAGAATCTGGTGTGAAATACAGTTTAAGGTTTTTCACTGACTCTGAATTACACCTTTAATATTAAGCAAGTTCAATCCCCAAGTGTTTGTAATAAATGTAAGTCATGCACTGTCTGATGTCTGATGTGTGTGTGTGTGTTCGTGTGTTTTAATCACATTTCCCAAGACACCATCAATCTGCCTTTCCCCCACATTATTTATAAAGAAGGCAGACCTAAATAAATCTGAACACAAACTTTTGAGGAAACTCGTGTTGCTTGCCAGCACGAAACAGTGCAGGAAAGCCGAAAAACAAAACAAAACAAAATGGAGAAACAAGATACGCTGAGCAAAAAGCACAGAAAGGTAATTCGTAACGCTCTTGACAGCCTTTCCATTTCCATGCTGTGTAATGTAAGCAGACTTGACGGCTGTACCAACAAGCGGCACTCTGCAGAAATCCTCTTCCACTTTATTGACTCATCTCATATTCTCTAACCACTACACTCTTCTGCCAAGGTCTCCTGTAACGCACACTGATTTCTATTACTGTGAGCGAGTCTTTGTGCTTTGTAATCAAACAGATGGAGATCTGTGAGCTGCAGATGTCTGAGCTTCAGATTAGTGCACGCTTCATCAATGCATTTCTCTCATCATGATGGATGATGTTCTTGCTTTTTGATCTGTAGAACGGGATCATTAATTAAAAGCAAGTCGTCGTCACTGAGATGATGTTTTTGTGGTAAATTCTTCTTTCATTATGTAAGCGACAAATTTTTCTGGCTGTTAAATGCACCACTTTGTGCTGCCTCTCAGTGTCTGCATCATCTTCAACCCCTGCTAACCTCTCTCTTTCATTTCTCCCTTTGGGGTCAAATGGTCAGAGATGTGCACTCACAGCTCTGCTCGGGGTCAGCTACCACCTTTCAGATCCTGCAGAGGCCCCGTGGTTTCACCAGACCCCCACTCAGCGCCACCAACCCGGCAGACTGCACGCCTATCAAAGGGTTCTTTCACGCCCCTCAGCACAGTTTTGGGACTCAGGGATGAAAATGGAGATTTACTGGCCCTGGATGCCATGCTAAGATTGTACAGCTGTAGACTTATGGCTCTGAAAAAGGAGCTTGAGCCTCCACCTTCAGTCAGACCACAGCGTAAAGGACTGCTACACACCCAGGTCTGTGTTCCTGAGTATTAAAAATAACACCAAATTGAGTGTTGGCGGAGCCCTCTGTACCAAACATGTCACGCTTAAATGACCAGCCAGTGTAACTGCCTTTACCCACCAGTGTTTTCACTCTGCCTACAAATCCCTGAACATGATATATGTGGAAGGCAAAGCAAGCGTTTTATGAATAATGCTCCTGTGTGCAGCTGTCATGGTGATCAGGCACTTTCATGGATTTTATGTTATTTCTTTAAGAAAATTTAAATTAAAAAAGTAGCTCCGTCAGACAAACATATTGCAAGGAAATTTTCCAATGAAGAGCAGGATTTTTACATGGCATGGATATTCTGACCAAGTGCTCCTCACATGGAGTAAAGGCAAAAACCACAGCTGTTTTTTACTTCTGAAACATGTTGTTAGTACAAAATCATAGAATAGAATAGAATAGAATAGAATAGAATAGAATAGAATAGGCAAAAGTCAACAAAGTCCTACATGGTAGAGGTTTTAGAATGGATGTGCATGAGTCTGTGGACAAAAACAGGCACTATCTCAATAATAGCTAAAGTCAACACCTTTATAATGAGTATCCAAGGACTGATTTTTGAGTGATTGTGGCAGGATACAAAGTTAACAGCTTTGTGCAGTTGTCTTGAGGCACCCCTATTTTTTTTCTCTCCAAGCATCCAGGCTCTTTGTAATGTTTTAAAGTGACCTTGAGCAACAGTTCGTTGGGGTTTCTGAAAGTCTTTTTTTGTTACTCATTTTTCAGTCCAGTCCTTGTACCTGATCATTTTCAGAGGAAAGCTTTTTCTTCACTTTAGAGCTAACCTCTGAATCATTCAAGCATAAAAAGGCACCTAACTCCAGGGATAAACCAGTGTTGTGTCTACACATAGGACACAACTTAGCAAAGAACCTATTTTAAATGACATCATTCGGCACTCTGTTACTAGCAGCCTGTCTCCAAAAACATATAATTTGTTCCCATTTTTTAGTTGAATCACTGAGAAGTTTAGCACAGTTTGACAGACATAAAATACTATTTTTATGCAAACAAGGTGACTCTCAAAGTGCTATTAGCTTAAAAAATCAGCATATCCCAGCATGGTGTGCAGTGTCTCCTTAAAAAATTTGAGGAAACTGGACAAAAGAAAAATTGGCAGAACTAAAATCCATCTATTCATGGTGGCTCAGGACTTCTGCACAGTAATGTATATATTGATGTTATTATATAAATGTAGGCACAACAAAGAGCCTTTAATAATAATAGTAATTATCAACCTAGAGTTTGTAACAAGCCAAATCTGAGCTCTTGTCTCCTGAAAATACCTTTATCTGAATGG